TCCATCTTGCGTCGTTGGCGCGGCCCGTACGCCACGTGCTGCGCAGAATGGTGCGCTTCTGGCCAGAAGCCGAATTCAGTTCCATCTCGTTTCCATTGGCCAGCCGCCTGCACTGATGACGTGTTCAACATGACGATTTGCTCTCTCGAACAATTCTATAGCAAGAGAACTTTTGTGAACTGAGATGAGCTACCCGAGACAGCCTGCCGGTTTCTAGCGTTACGTTGGACAATTCCAGCGTGACACGACTGAGTGAGACAGAGAGAGCGGTCCGAGATAGTGTGTTGTAGCATGTTTACCTACAGCGTTACACGATTCTGTAAATTCGGCTGCAGGTTACTTTTCTATGGAATACTTGTTAAAGACCAATGTCTTCGTTATGCACGTCCATGCGTATAGTCACGAGGTATGTTTCACATTTTGTGGTTTTCTTTGCCACGTGGGAAAAAAAGTTCCGCAAAGTATATACGGTGTGACAAAATATTGGAACTGATGATTTTGATGTCGCCTTAACGTGTAACGTTGACTCAGTAAATATAAGTGTGGTCTGTCCGTTCTTTAGCACTGTGAATGTTCGATTGCGGGAACCAACTATTCCAACTATCCTGTAGGTGTGTGTGCGTAGGGGGGGGGGGGGGGGGTGAGAGAGAGAGAGACGTAGAAATAGAAGGAAAGAGGGACGGCAGGTGATCGTGTGTGGGTAGGTGCATGCTCGCTTGTTACGGACAAGCATTATTGCGGCCAAGCCGAAGCGTGTTTCAACTGGCCCATGTTTTAATCCCATGTAATCCTATGGCAGCGTGGCCTGGCAACTTTTGACCGCCCCTGTACATGGAAATGTGCCGTTGCATATCGCCCTATAATAAGGCGCTTTTGTTCTTCACGAAAGTTCGCCGCAGCTGGCAAGAACTGATTTTCACTGTTAATTCATGCTTCCTGTGTAAAACAAACTTCCTGCAGGAGTCCACAGCCGAGGGTCATTGCAAGGGCATATCATCAAGGTCAGGCCCAGCATGGAAAATTAACATATGCAGCCACGGCCGAGGCCAGTTTCAGGGTCTTCGTAGTCACAATGTCTGCTCTGAACTTGTGACTGCAAACGTTCCATCATACGTGGGAATGTAGCTGCCATTTCGAACTGCCATCTCGTGTTCAATGGTTGTTTGCCAAAGTCTGTCTATGGAAGTATTCATCGTGTTATCTTTTACTATGAAGCTGTCTTCCCTCGAATAGCATCATCATCAGACCTGTAAGCACTCTTTGGCCAGAGAGTCACTTTCGCTGTGTGCGAATGACCGTCAGATCCACATCATTTGATACTACCTCAATACCACCCTGAACTGAGCGCATGTGGGAAGTGTTTTAAAGGTACTGTTGTTCTTGGCGCTATAGTGCCAAGAACAACAGTACGTTCCAACTTATAGGTTGGAACGTAAACTACAACAGGCGTGTTGTATATGCGCTCAATTACGACAATAGTTTCATGCTATACCTGACACGACGAATATCCGCTCGGGTAATTAATGATTACAATCCTCCTTCTTCTAACAAATGTCATTTTCGGCTTCTTAAGTGGTTCCACGTTTGTCCCATGCATGCAAAGAGCGTTAGAATCAGTCGCAGTTTGTGGTGTGCCGAAGTACTTTTGCAGAAGGAATTGAATAACTGCAATGTGCCCACTCACCGTGGTAGTTGAGCAGCTATGGTGATCTGCAATTCTCAAGGAGACGGGTTCAACTCCCGGCCACGGCGGCCGCAATTCGATAGTGGCGAAGCGCAGAAGGCACCCGTGTACTTTTTTATATCTCCGTGCACCTTATAACAATAAAGCCCTGGTGATCAAAATCAACTTCATGTTTCTTACTGTGGGGTGCTTCATGTTCTTATTGCGTTTTTGTGCTTTAAACCTCATAATTTAGTGTTCTTTTATGTACCAAAACTTGGGTGCGCATAGGAAAGCTCGTAGTAGCTAAAATAACCCTAACAGCTCCACTACGACGTCTCTCACAGCAACTCTGTTGCTTTGAGATCTTTAAACTTCAGTTTTTCAACACATGATTCTGTCCGAGTATAAAGCCTCGTACTTTCAACTACATACACGGCTGGGCAGCGTGGTATGACGATTACATCGGCAATTTGCTTACATCTTGACCGCACATATTTTTCGCTGACTCTTCATACCAAGACTGAGAGTAAATTGAAGCGTGAAAGGAAGTAGAGGCATTTACACGTTATAAAGTCCTATTAGCGCTGAGCACTCTGCTTCTTAAACGGCTTCCTTTGTGAACACATTACGAAAGCCCACTCGTGAAGTTAAGTTGCGTTACTACCGTAACCTACGTCTCTCTTTCTGCTGCTTATCCGCTAATTAACTCATCGCTTGTCTAAAATTTCCAGTGACATGATGTGACAAGGCACAAGCAAGTATAAGCTCCACTGACTTGTTGTTTCGCTAACAAAACTCCAAGCATTTCTTCACCGTCGTCAAGGGTACTCGTGCAATTAAAGAAAATTTAAAAAGTTTCACGCAAAAATAAATCAGTCTTGGTTGCCTTATTGGGCGACCACTAAGAAAACATTCAATTTCTAACATCCATGAATCATTTCTTCATTAAAATAACTATACTTGCCTGTGTATTACGTTCATCATATTGATGTAATACCTGTTTGATTTGAATCCGATAGTGGAGTTTTACGAACGCAATTGGCTGGTAGCTGAACGCAACGCAACAAGCATGGCGAGTACAGCTGCCTAACGTAAGAAGTATGGCATAAAAGACGAAGGTGGAGTATTTCTTAAAATGAAGAGCATGTCTTATCTACCGATCTCACAGCCGTTTCTATCGTAAGAATAGCAGACTGGGTGTTATGGTTTAGCATATTTGAAGTGAAGCATAAGCAGAAGTTCTGTTATGACATTTATGGTCACCACTACTGTGGAAGCACCCGTACTAGTAAAATTATGAAATGCGAATGCCCATAATGCCACAAAAAATGCAAGCCACCTGCTCAGCGAAATTCACAGTTAAACAGGACCAGGTCGTAAAGCAGCTGGTAGCAATGGATCTACGTTCATTTATTCTCATGGCAATGCAGGCTGCTGTATTACTTGTCGACTAACCTGTCAGTCTGCGCACGGCCATAAGGCATGCCCACTCTTGCAAGAGCCTGCCGGTATGTAAGGATAGCGTGCTGATCATCGCCCTCACTGGCCTTGCAGGCGAACAGCATGGAGCAGCCTCCCATGCTGTCTTCTCCAGCCGGGGATGAGCCGTGTAAGCAGCTGCAGGACGAGATGCAGCAGGCGCCACCACCGGTCCCAACTGTCCAGCAGCAGCGGCGGCCGTCCTCGCAGCCGTCAAATGGCCAGGCGAACGGCAATGGCGACATGTGTCGCATCTGTCATTGTGAGGCGGATGCAGAGAACCCACTCATCTCGCCTTGCTACTGCTCAGGCAGCCTACGCTACGTGCACCAGGCTTGCCTTCAGCAGTGGATCAAGTCGTCAGACACCCGGTGCTGCGAGCTGTGCAAGTTCGACTTCATCATGCACACAAAGATTAAGCCTTTCCGAAAGGTCAGTCCTGCCTTCAGTTATCGGTGAGCAAACGGAGCTGATTGCGCGCGTCGCGTATTTGCAGTGGGAAAAGCTGGAGATGTCTTCGGTGGAGCAGCGCAAGGTGCTGTGCTCCATCACATTCCACGTTGTGGCCATCACATGCGTGGTATGGTCACTGTACGTGCTCATCGACCGGACAGCAGAGGAAATGCGCGAGGGCAACCTGGACTGGCCCTTCTGGACCAAGCTCATCGTGGTCGCCATCGGCTTCACCGGAGGCCTCGTCTTCATGTACGTTCAGTGCAAGATGTACGTGCAGCTATTTCGCCGCTGGAGGGCCTTCAACAGGGTCATCTACGTCCAAGACGCACCCGTGCCGGACAAGGGTGCTGCGCTGCCTACGGCCGCCGACCTGTCACCGCCAGTCACGGTCCAGGGCACAACTTCCTCGAAGCGACCGCCGCCCGCCAATGCCTGTGCGCCTCTTCACGACGGCCCCACCGAGATCACCGTGGCCAAGGACTCCAGCCCTGACACTCCCGGGCCTGACGAGCCTCGCGCCGCTAGTTGAGCGCTGCTCGCCGATGGTCTCCTTGTGATAAACTCTGGCGCTCCGTGTACATAGTAGTGTGCGTGTGTGTGTGTGTATACATATAGGTAACGGCGGTGTCCCTACCGCCCGGGACAAACAACAGGACCTGACGTGGTCCACGAGCGGTGCAGCTGCTTCTGCGTATTTGTCTCGGTGCTCATTCAGATGACTTCGTGGACGCTGTTGAGGCCGGGAGCTTGTAATTTTTGGTTTGTTTCAGTCATGTGCACTCTTTGTTTTTGTTGTAGATGATTGTTCGCTTCTCTCTGACGCTGGTGTTAAGTACCTCTCTGATTAGGTATTGAATTTCATCCCCTTTTCAGAGAACTTCTGCATTTGTCCCATTTCCGTGTCAGCTAGTCTTGGACCATACTTCGCCGCAGATGTTCTCAGCCGCATCGAAAAACAATGGGCTAGGAAAACAAAAAAAGCCTTGTTTTGCGATTGATATTTGTTTTTGTGGGGTGAATCGTCTGCGCTAAGGCAACGTGTGAGCCATAGCTGGTGCTTTCAACAACTATGGATACGTACAAGCTTGCTTAGCTACAGGCATATATTTGGTCTGGTTGTTCACCTTTTGGCAAGTCTCTAGCGAAAACAACACTACTTCATAGTTTTTTTATTAGATGTTTACTTGTTACCTCATTCTAGTTGCCTGACTGCATTAGATACCAAAGGTGTTGAAACTAACATAAAAGCTGTTTGAAGCCCACTTCCACAGACAAACGCTTTTTTTAGTGTAGAGACATTTCTACCGTACTTGGTATTATTGTCACTTATTTACTTCTCGAGTCATTGCAAATATCTGTGGATAGAAGTACCATGAGCCTTCTCATGCTATTTGAATTAGTACAGTTCAATGGGGTTATCATCACATTTGTTGAGTCTGCGAGCTTTTTCTTCTTATTGTACACGCTCAATGTGTTCATGAAGCTGGGAAAAAAGTTTTTTTCTCTTTATCTCTTTCTTTGGCATGGCTGCCACTGTGATCTGCATGCAACATTTTTGTTATATTTTCTTTTGTACGAGCTCTTCAGATAGCTTTTTCTTCGTTTAGAATAACGGGCACCATATACATAAGCCAGGAATCAAACTGCAAAGCACCCGTACTTGGCGTGAAGACAAGCGGCAAGGGTGCCGAGTGCTGTTGGAAAGCATAGGGCTTTTCCTCCTCCCACCCATTTTAGTGCGCCTAATATTTGTAATAAGTGTTCAGATCTCGGTTCCTGCTCGCTTCGACAACGCCTGATCTCCGTTCCAGTCACCGCAAAGTTCTCCACTCATTTTCTAAAAGCGTGTTTCGACCTTTACAGAGCAGCTCAGTGTGAGAGAGTGCCACCATCTCATAATGCAATCAGAGGCATATGCCTCATAATCACTTCACAAGGGCCAATTTCTTCTATAGCTTATTTTCTATAATATCTTAAGGTATATGTAAATCTGAGCTTTTAAATAAAAAAGGGGGTAGTTGAAAGTGCGCAGGAAAAGAACGTCGTGTCCGAACTAGTCGGTTGTGCCTCTCGTTAACCTGGAATCAACCGAACAGGCGTTTACGCAGCCTTGTGGCGTGTCCTGCCCTTGTTTTCTGCGCACTTTCGGTCTGTTTTCAAGTTTTCAAGTGAGTGCACTGGCTTCCCGTCATCTCATCTGGCTGTTAATAGTGTCAGGAAATTCGCTCGCGCTTGTGTTATCATACATTGTGTGCTTAGCAGTGCTATGTGCTGCAAGAGCTATTAAGAGGATAGTCTTATGTCTAGAGGTTGACTAAACCCCCCTCCTCTCTAGTAGGAGGTGTACAAGAGATGCTAAAACATTAGACTGGAGTGGTAGACACGCCGCAGGTGTAGGCGGAGCGTGATTTCCAAATAGTGGTTCTAATATTAGTGCACAGTGAGTAGATTTTTTCCCCTTTTTGCACCAAACGACTGAAGATGAACTGCGGCGTCCCACTGGTGCAGAGTGGAAACGTACAAATATGTGGGCTCGCAAAGGTGCGGGTCCTATTGTGCTACATTGGTGCAGACCTTTTCATGCCTCTATTCTTGGGCTGGTTATTGGCAATCGAACAGCGTGGCTGACGTGCCAACAGTGCTTAACTCGAATCTCATCACTTTCCTGCAGCTTTGCCAGTTTGCGCGCGTGCAAGCTGATACGAGCGACGTGTAAAGTGAGGACTGTAGTCGTCAGTTGCGGGTTCTATCCTTTCGTTGCCATTATTTATGGGTCTCACTGCACCTGTACCTGTGAACGCAGAAGGAAAACTTGCTGTGCATCTTTTTTTTCTTCAAGTAACAAAAAAAAAAGACATGCTGGCAATGCCTCCTTTTGCAGTTTATCCAGCGCATTTCGTCAGATTGGCATTCAGTTGATGGTTACTTTAGTTGGGCGTACGCCATCGTGACTAAAATACCATTAACGCAGTTGCGCAATTGGAATTTTGATGTATTTACTTTCCGTAATTTGCAAGGTACCAGTGACATTGTTACTGACATCAGTATTTATCTCCTTGCTACAACACAGCTGCCTTTTTTTTTTTTCATATGTGCAGGCGATAACGCAGACCTATCACCAATAGTAACATCTAAGCATTAGCGCTATAAGACGCTTCACAATGTATAAACCTTAGTCATGGAATTTCCCATTGCCAATCATACTACTAACTGTATTTCTTGTTGCTGCTAACATGAGTGAAATTCAGCACAACGCTGTTTATGGTTGCAGAGTATATAACTGTGCAGCAAGGTACGCATTTTAAACTCAATAAATAGGAAGTTAAAGGCCGAAGTATATAGTTGCCAAATAGTTACCGCGAAAACAAATCTAAGCAACACAGACAGTTCCGTGCATGCACGTCCAAGGCTGAGAATAGGTGTCTTTTTGCGTATATGCAAGCGATGTTCCATGCAAGGTGATACGCACCCTTACGATTATCTCAGTACAGGTTGCACAAGCTCTTAGGAAATGATTGATCGCAGTCCGTTGTCTTTCACTCTCCGGTCTCCTGCTTGCGAAGCCATGCAGTAAAAAAAGGGGGGCTCGAAATTCCTCTCAACGACGGAGAAAAGGTGTCTGTCTAGATGTGTATGGCGCCTAAATCAACGTGGGTGTGTTAAGTGCGTGCGTAGACAAGCAGTTTATTTTTATTTTACATCAAAGGTATGCGCCGTTCCCTCCACATAAAGTGTCGCCCAGGAAACGGCAGAGAACGATTCGTTTGACTTCTCCGTTCTGAACAGGTTAGCGATATATCAATATCGCTACGTAAAAGTGTTTGGTCTAAGGCTACTCTGTAGTCGTGGCCTGTGAACTGACGTTCCACGGCGCATCATTACTCACAGCCAAGTGCAGCCGAAACGTTTAGCGGGGAAACAAGAACAGCGATTCTGGAAGCCGTATATTGCGAAATCAAAGAACAAGCAGGGTGTACAAAGCGTGTTTAACGTTTTAGGTATTCGTGCGGCTTTAGCACACTGTATACTCTTTATTCGCAGACAGAATATTCGCAAGTACATGCTGTTTCACCCGTAAAAGCGAAGCGCATCGCAGTCAAATCACCACGGATGTCCTTATCTGCCTGCCCTGGTCAGCTAAGCGCGATACATAGGGCACAAGTTGCGCTGCTCAGGGGACCGTGAGTAAGCCAGTTGTCGCGTTTCCTTTTATTGTTGCGGCTCGAGCATCTGAGAGGAAAATATATTCTCGTTGGTGTCGTATTTTTACACTGCTGTACACCACCACCTTCGTTTTAATACAAGCATAGGCGTCGCCACTCAACTTCACTCAGGCGTTCGTGCATGCAGGGTGAAAGTGGTACACTGCAGTGTGAGAAGGCAACGTGCTTAACCCTTATCTGTATTACGCTTTTGTTTGCTTATTCCCGCTCACAGTTCATTTGTAAAACGCACTGAATTTCGGCTTTTGAGCTGAACTTTTGGGCGCGAACCGTGTGCTTGTTTCACATGAGCTTTTTGCACCTTTAGCAACGCTTTGGCGCTTCTTTTGCCGATCCGTGCAGCTGGATACGGAGAGCGCCTTCAACAATGTACGGTGTGCCGGCTTTGGACAATAGGCATTGCTGTGCCGTGAACGGCCACTGCTTGATAGTGTGTGTGCCGAAAATTGTTCGTGCCAAATGTGAGACGACTTTCCTGTTTGTGAGAGCGACCTGTCGGTAACTTTCTCCAGCGCTTGAGTGCGCCACGTGCGGCTGTTTCTTAAAGACTGGTGACGAGCTTGCGCTTTCATTAAACAGGTATACCCTCTAGAAAAGCTCGCTGATTTACTGCACTTTGTTTTTCATTTCTGTCTCTTTTTCTTTAGATACAAGTGAACTTTTCAGCTGCTTCTGTGCATGTGTACATGTGGAATGGACCCGCTGGGCAGTTACTGTAAATAAAGAGCGTCAACGTTTCTTATTACGCGACATAAGAACGCGCACGGTACACACGCACGCCACATATTCACACACGCGCCGACCCGCGCGACATGCAGCGAGCCTCACCGTCGAGGCGAGTTCACAGTGGCGAGCGGGCGAGATCGCGCTACCGACTTCAAAGCGATGGCTTCGGGTGGTTCGAAGACTCAGTCGCCCACTCGCTGCTCGATTTTTTCGTTATGCGACTGGAATCGTAAGGCTGCTGAGTCAGCATGCACTCGATGGCACAGGACGTCGGCTTATGTCCTAGGGACAATTACTCCATTATATGCTGCGAGCGGATGCACTTGGTGCACTGCCACAACCACGTTCTTTCTTTCTGCAACACCGCTCGCTGCAAGTGATGAGGCCTCTGGAGCAGATCGCACTTGATTGGCTATAATATTGTTATAAAAATATGTGAAGACATCCCGAGAATAAAGAAGAGAAAAGCAGCGCAAAGCAAGCGCAGGTGTTGCAGCTGGCGCGTTTAAGTCTGGCTTAATATTGTGCTGCATTGCAAAAATTTCTCGTAGACTAAAGTGCGCAAAAACAGAGTCTGTATACAGACTCCCTGATTGCGCCTCTTGTTTACAAACAATTTCTACAGTGAAAGCTGTGTATATTAGTAGCCTTTAATTCGTTACATTTTCGTGCGCCTTATTCAGAAGGACGAAAACCCTTTTGGTGGGAAAACAGACAGGAAAATGGGGAATAAATGTTGCTTAAGGCCACGCTTGCCGGTGAGAACTTTGGTCGCCGCAAACGGTGGTACATATGAGCGATTAGGAGAGAAAAATTATTGATAGAGTTCATTATAAGGACTACAGAAAAAGAACACATCCAAAAACTTTAACCTGGGGTCGCTATTTGCTCGCCAGCGTGAATACACCTTTAGGCAGCACCCGTACTTCAAAAATGACGCGCTGTTCACGTTTCGCGAGTTTCGCATCTCTTGGCCACGGGAGTGGGCGCGCAGTCTACACCTCTGGCCGCCTCGCTGCTTTATTTCGGTTGCTGTGATTTTCGCCGATCAACCACGTGTGTTTCCTGCTATTTCCTTCTTCTGTTTCAGCTTTACAGCTGCACTATGCCCAAATATGCCTATTTATTTGCCAGTGTTTCTAGCTTCATCCGTTGACCGTACACTAAAAGGAGCAGACTTGAGACGTGCGCAAGTGCCATTCCTCACATGCTGGTCGCTTCCAGGAATGAAAGCAAATTTCTGGACATTTGTTATTGTTGGCTCCGTTTTGAAAAAACAAAGCGAACAAGTGCCTTTTTGGTTCGTTTTTGGACTGTTGTTATGTTTCTGGAGTGGCAAACACGTTGCACACCTGTACGCAAACACAAATACACAGCTGTGTTGAGCGCGTTCGGCTCGGAACACTCGTTTGAAGAATAGATTCAAATTAAATTCAGTTCTAAAGCCTGATGTCTGTCTCGTCCTTGCTCCACGTGAGCACCATACAACAAATTAATTACTCTGCGCAGTCCTGAGCGATAGCTCGGAAGTGCGATTTTGTCACAGCGTGAAGCTCTAGCGTGATCGAGCAGGCACGCCAGGTGCGTACGGAAGACGCCTCGTCTTCTGTCCGCACCTGGTTGTAAACAAACGACACTGTGGCGTTGTTCTCGCACGTGCCTTTGTTTAAGTATTTTTGCATAGGGGTTTCTTGTGATTATATGTCTAAACGGCAATATCATGCCTTTGCCCCCCACACTCACGTAACCGGGGACAATACCCTGAAAAAACGCCCGGCCTTGTGCTGCGATCGTAGACAAACCCTAAATGGGTGAAGTCGCCTACATTGGGTGCATGCAAATTGCTTGTGCATCGATTCGAATGAATGTGTGAAAACGCAATATCTGCAGAGCGTTTGCTCTAATTCCCTCACAAGTGAGAAGGTTGGTGTGTTAAGGTTACAGCAGCCAGTGCCGCCTATAGTACATCATTTCAGCATAAAAACTCGGCCCCTCATGTATTCGCCCAAGATAATTTTAAGGCCAAAGCCATCTTTTTCTTCTCAGTCGATGTCTCGATCCTCCCCACCCCCTCCCGAAAGTCTATCGCACCTAAAGTAGTTTCATACAGCCTCCGAGATCATAGGCATGGTAAGCCTTCCACACCTGACGTTGTTTTGCACCGCCTCCGCGATCGGCCCACATGTAACCAAGCGACGACATCACGTGATGACTATCTGCTGATGTGGCGTACTGATGACCACGAAGTGACGTCATCACGTAAGCATTTTTTTTTGCATTCCTCTTATTGACGCCGCCGACGGTGAATTTGCGGGTTTGATGGGCATTCAACGCTTCCGCCTTAAAAACATATGATAAATACGCGTAGATGCACACATAAAACACCACAGCTCAATGACGTCGTTAGAGGGGGTGTCGGTTAGAAATTTTCAACCCTCCCGCCTCCTTTCTTTTAAAATATTTACACTATCTATGTGTAAGTATGCACTCAAGCATACAAATTTACACATAAACATACATAAGTGAAGTCGGAACACCCCCCCCCCCTCCCCACCATCCCACCACAAAAATAAATTTTAGCTACGACATATTTAACGATGGAAATTAGATATACGTCATACGACACTGTTTTCCTACCGCGTCCATGAGCAGCTCGCATAGTAGGGGCGAGCATCTCAAGTGAACTTTAATGAGAGGGACGTTTTTTTTTTCGCTGTAAATGAATGCCATTGCGACTATGCTTTTCATTTTGTACATATGTTTTCATGGCGCAAAATAGGCTGTAGCACATTTAACGCTACTTGCCGGGTCCGAATCCCGGCCACGGCGGCCACCTATCGATGGACGGCGAAATTCAAAAAGGAACAGAAAAAAATGGCAATGTACTTAGATTTCATCGTACGCCAAAAAGCTGGAGCGGGTCAAAATTAAATCGCAGTAGACACATATATGGTGTACATCATAGTCATGTCACCGTATACCAACACGCAATACCGACCATTTTAATATATCACACCTCGAAATTGATCTGCAACCGCAGCACTAAATTTCTTGCTCGGACAAGTGCAATGCTAGGCGAAAACAATTTCCTAAGGAAACACTGCAATCGACGTTTCGCGCGCACGTGCTTGCCCCCTTTTTCGTTGACACAATCTAGGAGCACACGGGCTGACTCGTTCCCGCCACGGACACTGCCCGCACTCGGGAATACAAGCGGCTTGCACGAGCCCGCTCTATAGAACGCGTCGCGAGATGTGCGGTTTCATTTTATTGCGATAGCAGTTATATGGTCACTCTCATCTAGTTTTTGCCGTCACCGCCGCTGCCGCCGTTATGCACCTTGTATGTATACAAATCTATATATATATATATATATATATATATATACACAGTAAAAAATTTTACACCCAGAAGGGTGTAAATGAGCTTGTCCCATGGACGACACCCTAAGGGTGTTAATTCAGCACCTTCCAAAAAGGGTGCTTTTTCATGCACCCTTAGAATAAGGTGTACATGTAAAAAAACTGTAGGGTGTTATAAAAACACCCTTAAGGAAGGGTGCCTTCGATGTCCATCACTTTTTTAGCACCCTCTGAGGAGGGTGCGAGAAGGGTGCAAAAGGGTGTTGAGTGCCCGCCATGGCAGGGGTGCCAGTATTCTTTTAGACTGCACTAATAGATATCAGCATGCACTGATTACACACTACTTGAAGAAAGTGGTCCTGATTATCAATGGTGCACCACCTGTCGAGCTCCATTCATTGCGTCTGGGCAAAAATATAAACGCGTACTATCGTGTATGAACTTCTGCTGGATCTATATATACTTCAAAGTATATGCATAATGCGCGTTACAAAAAATGAAGCCTTGCTGCCCTTGCATATTGCGTTTATTTAATAGGCAAATAAAACATAAACTTTTCTTCTGCCACACAACTTTTTCACCAGATATACGTTCACGTATACGTACACTACACATGCAACACCTCAAATGTTTATTATATTTATTCAGTTTCACTTCATTGACAATTCTTTGCTACATACAATTACACTGGTTTCAGTTTAGTATACTGCTTCAAGTACATAGAGACTACAAATGAAATATACGCTAATATATCCCTATAATTCTTTCATGTATCTACAATCCCAGTGGTTTCCAGTTTAATACTCCTTCATGTACACAATCGGTTAATAGGAATGAAATACAGGCAAATATATACTTATGATTCTTTCAAATATATACAATCACCATGATTTCACTATATACGCCTTCATGTACACAATCGTTCCCAAGAAGTGATGCCCACAAAAATATATATGGATAGTGTTTTCAAATGTATACGATCACAGTGGATTAAGCTTTGTATTCCTGGATGTATAACAATTGGTTATGAGAAATGATGTACATGCAAACATATACGGGTTTTCGCACATATATATTTAGCGAATACTTAAGAAACCAATACAATGATCAGAAACACAATAAGCTAAAAACGAACACAAAACTGAGTCAAAACACACAAAAAACAAAAGAGGTAATGCATAATTATGGCTAATGACACAGCTGGGTCACTTTATGCCAAATGTCCAGGCCATTTTGGCAACCATCTCAAATGTATTCGAAAAACTCGTGCTGCATTGAAAATAGTGAACTTCTGGAATATTTAGGAGAGGAAAAATATTTGGTCACGTGGCTGCCCTCTGAACTTCCTGGAATGCCGTCTAGGTGTTGTATGTGAAAAATTTTATTTTAAAAGCACCGCTCCTTCTTTCCATACGAAACTCGGTCTACGTGTTACATAACAAGAGCTTAATTTGGGAGAGTTGGTTCATCGTGCTTGTGTGCTAGTCACAGCGCGACAAATTTAGGAAGAGACAGAAAGAACAGGAAAGAGCACCGACTGTCAACTGAATTTAATGAATGTGCTACGAGCGCTTTTATACGGAGTACAAGAACCGTATTCATGCGCGACGACACGTGTGAGCACTACAAAATAATCTTAACTGTGAAAAGAATACTCCCTCTCGGAAAGGATAAGTGAACGTGTAGTGATGCACTGATCATTGGTTTACCTGATAAAAAATCCTTCTACAAACGTTAAATTGGCATTAAGTAAACCTATTCTCGTGACGAATGGGGCAAGATTGACTATTCCTGTTGCTGTTTAGTACACACACTTTTGAAAGCTTGCAAGGGGTGGAAAACAACACGCTAATATCATATCTGCTGGCTATTTTTTTAATTGTGAGACACATGATGTGGTATAACATGCAAAGGTTTTGGTCATTGTTTTTGGTTGGTCCTGTCTTCTTTAACTTTACTTTCTGCAGGAGGGTTTCGCAAACGGGTGTGATGATTCTGTTGGGATACCCAGCATCTTTTAGTCTTTTAATCTGGTTTTTAAACCTGACCTCACCCTTGTGCTAACATGACTTCTGAAGGGTGGCCTGAGTACATGTGGTATCAATTCCTCTTTCTACTAATTTTGAATGCCCACTAGGAAAAGGCAGAACATTCTTATCACTCCTGGGCTGATAGCACCAGCCAATACCCCAACAGCATCATCACACTTGTTTGCGAAACCCTCCTGCAGAAACTAAAGTTAAAGGAAACAGGACCAAAAGAAAAAGAGAATGACCAATCACCTTTGCATGTCACACGGTACTATGTACATAAGGTGTCTCACAATTTTAGGAAAAGAGCCAGCAGATATGACATTGTTGTTTTCTACCCCTTGCAAGCTTTCAAAAGTGCATGTACTTACAGCAACAGGAATAGTCAATCTTGCACCATTCGTCGCTAGAATAGGTTTACTGAATGCCAATCTAATGTGTATGAGATACCGCTAACACGTGGAAAAGTAAACATAGGACAAACTGGGCAATGCTTCAATGATCAAGCAAGACAGCATGCTTTAAATGTTAAGAAGGGCTATAGTAGTCTCATGGCCGGGCACCGTAAAGAATGTAAGTGTAGTCATAGGTTTCATAAAACACGGTTTTTGAAAAAAAAGCAAGCAGAAAAATGAGAGATTTTAGAACTCTTTATTGGGAAGGCCAAGGATCAATGCATCAGTACACCTTCACTTATCTTTTCCGAAAAAGAGTATTCTTTTCTCGGTTAAAATTATTTTGTCATGGTCACACATGTGTTGTTGCAGATGAGCCCTGGTCTTGTGCTCAGTATAAAAACACTCGTAGCACCTTCAATAAAATTCAGTTGACAGCGCTCTTTCCTGTCCTTTTTGCGATACGATTTTTATTACAAAAAAAATTTCATTTTCTTACAATTTAGGTATAATGATGAGTTTTCATTGTATCACAACATGGAGCAAATTGCATCTCAATACGGACCAAAATCACAATTTTGTGAAATTCGTGATATTTTCTCGTATATTTCAGCAGCTTGAGAAGTCTAAAGATATTTTTTCCTCATAATATACCTTCTGTGG